CAACAAGGTTTGTCAAATCGTGTAAACTCCCAAGTTCTCGCGGGATTGAAGCGAAAAATCAGTTAAATGACAGGTTCAACTCTGTCATGTCGTTCTAGAGGGCCACGTTATTGGGTATTTCGCTGGTGAACATGTTCTCTTGCATCTTAAGTTTCTGTAACTTTCTCAACCCAATTATGCACGTGGGAACTTCACTTGTGAAACGGTTCTTGCTGATGTCAATCTTCAGAAGGTGAGAGTTGGAAGATTCGTGTTGGAAATTTGCCAGAAAATTCGTTGATAAACAAAATGAGTTTGGTGAATGCAGATGGAAGCAGAGACAGAACCTTCAAACTTGTTGTTGGACATTTCAAGAAACTAAAGCCCAGTAAAGGCCCAAAAAGCTGGAGCCACCTGGCCTGCTAACTAGTTGTTCTGGGTCCCTCGACGGCGTTGTCTTCGCCCTCGTAGCCGTCCTTTTTCTCATCCTCACCACCAGTGCCAGGGACGACCCACCTCCGCCACAACAACAACAAAAAGAAAATGAAAACAGAGTCACGGTTCGTTGGAGGTTGCGGGTTTTGTCCACCGTTCCATTCTTTTTCATCCTAAATTTTGCAGAAATAATAAATCTAGGAAGATCTCATGTCTCTTTTTCCGTCACTATGACGACATATGATTGAACCCCATTAAATAAAGTTTCCTCTTTGCAGTTTTGGGTACTTCAATTTTTCATCCCCACTGATTTTTGGAATTGGGTGACTTTCCATGTCCCATTTCCTTCATTGTTCTCTAGTGGGTTCTTTATCCAATGCAGAATTTGTGATTTTGATCAATGATCACCTTTGAGTCATAATTTTGATGTGTTTTGAGTCACTCTACATGTGAGATTTTTGTGAGTATACTAGATTCGACATATTGTGTACTGAATTTCACCATCTTCTTGTGATGTTCGTCTAAATTCTCAAATGTTTGGCATTTTGATGTTCGTCATATTGAAGATGATGAACCCTAATTTGGGTTTCAATTATCAGAAACTTTTTCTTTTTATTTTTTAATTATATATTCCACTAACATGCTCTACATATGCCACGTAATCTAACATAATGGCCACGTAATTAAAATATTCTACGTCTAACTGACAGCTCATGAGAAAGTTAATCCCGTTAACCCAATTTAATGGCAGGGAGCCAATTGCTTCAGTTTTTCACTTTTAGGGATCCAGTTGGGGAAAAAATAAGAAAGGAACCTATATTAGAAAACCCAACAGAAATAGAAACTGTGAAAGTGGTTTAACATATATATATATATATATATATATATATATATATATATATATATATATATATATATATATATATATATATATATATATATATATATATATATATAAATGATTAATTATAAAATTATAGTTCATTGTATTAATACGGACTAAAAATAATTTAGAATAACATTATTACCTATTATTGCTAACTAAGAGGAATAATGACAATCAAATTGTATTGAAAAATGATGATAATCATGTGAGAAAAATATCACTTAGACATTGAGAAGGGAGAGGATGTGAGGTTGATACAAGAGAGGATGAAGGCAATTTAGAGCATAAGTCCAATGTTGATCAGAGATGAAGATCGCTTGAGTTTGCAGTTGGAGATGATGCCTTTCTATGAGTGACTCCTGCCTTTGGTGTGGGAAGAGTTATTCGTTCGAGAAAGTTGTCTCCTAGGTGCATTGGTCCTTATAAGATTCTACGTCGAGTGGGTCCAGTACCTAATGTGATAATTATGCCTCCTTAGCTGTCAAATCTTCATCCAATGTTTCATGTTTCACAACTTAGGAAGTATGTGTTAAACCCCTCTTATGTGCTTGATGTTGATAATGTCCAAGCCAAAGAAGATTTTCTAGTGGAGGTTCAACCTATTGGGATTATAGAGAGTCAGACGAAGCAACTTACAAGAAAAACCATTAATTTAGTCAAAGTTGTCTAGGATACAAGAACATGTGACTTTACGTGAGAGTTAGAGGGAGTCATGAGAGAGTCTTATCCTCACTTGTTCTCTGGCAAATCTACTTTTCGAGGTTGAAAATTTTTGTTGTTGAGAAGAATGTAAGAACCTAGAAAATAGAGTATTAGAGTTGATAAGTGTTTTAAAATAATGAGACCAAGTATTTTAACGTTAAAATAATTCAATAAATATAAATAAAATTTCTTAAACTCGTTTGATTATCTAAAACACTCGTCATCTCTGTATAAATCCTTCTATGAGTTCCCTTGTCCTTCTCTCTACAATTTGTGACTCTTAGATCATCTGTTTGACGATCAAAAGGTGTCTAGGAAATCACAAGAGTGTAATCTCCATTATCATCCGATCAAATTTCTTTCTAGAGCAAGTTTCAACTCTTTTTCCTTTCGCTCTTAGTTTGAGACCATGCATAGGGGTTCTTTCTCGCATGTGTTATCCACTTCTCTTTCCTAATTTCTTGTTGATCAGAGGTTCTAAGGACTCTTTTTTATCACAATTATGTGTTGTGTAGGCGTTTCTAGATTTTCTTAAGATCGAAGCAATGGTAGTGAGCTGAGTAGAGTTGTGGTAGTTTTCTATCAAGGTAAGGGAAGCTAGTGTTTTCTTTTAATGTATGCATTGATCGTTAATAGTATGTGAGTTGAATGTATGTTGATTTTGATGCTTAAATTGAGTGTTTTGATGTAGAATGTGTGTTTGATTGATTTAATTTAGTCATATGAATCTGGTTGAATGTGATTATTGTCTTGTGAATGGTTGATGTTGTGAAGATTTATTGCATGAACTTGGTGTAGTATGGAGAAACCAAAATGTATATTGTCTTATTAGTCATTTGGCTTTAAAATGAGGGGTTTTGGTATATGAGATTTTGAGTTAAGGGTTAAAGGGAGGAAACTGAATTTTAGAGTCTGTTTTAAGGTCTTTTAAGACTTGTTTGAGTTGTGAATTAGCTGAAATATGATATAGAAATAGGTAATAGTCAATTAGTTGTGTTTTGGATGGTTTATAGGTGCAAAGTTGAGGTTTTGAGTATTGAGTTTTTGATTCAGAAGTTTTGAGGTAATTTGGAATGTGTATGGTCTTTCTTTGAGTTATTTGTGACTTGTTCAGACCCCTAAGTTGCTTAACTATGAGCTAAAATAGGTAGAATTGATTGAGGGTCTATAAAGTGGTGTGTTAGTGGTTTTAAGTTGGAATTTCATGGTGGAGTGAGTTAAAACTTGGTTTAGGTTGGATCTTATGCACTTGGATAGGTTAACTGAGGCTTAAAGTATCAATTGAAAATAGTAGAAGTTGATATGAGAGCCTAAAATAGGACATGTGAGGATGAGAGGTTGCAAATTCTGCAAAATTAGTATTTTGCAGAATAATGCAGAGTGGTTGGGCGAGCCAATGGCTCGTTGGGCGAGTGATTGAGTGTTTTAGCAGAGTTTTAGTGGCTAGGCGAGCTAGGTCATTGGGTTGGTGGAGCTTACCATTTCTACTCTCTCTAGGAGAGTGAAGGCAACTTGGCAAGTTTTGGGGTTCTTTGGTAGTGAGTTTAAGAGGCTAGGCGAGCCAGCTCACTGGGCTAGAGAAGCTATTTGTTTGAGCTCTCGCTAAGCAAGTGGTTTGGCTCGCTAGCAACTTGATACTTAGTAATATGATTTGAAATACACGATGGTATGGAATTGAGGTTGTAAGAGTTCTAAGGAGAATTCTTTGTGGTTTTATCAAGTGTTATTGGTATAAATGTAAGAAGTTTTGATATTGGGGTTATCCTAACACTCTAATGATTATTCATGCTCAATTAGAGAGATGTGAGTGATGTCATGAGAGCAGTAGAAGGGCTTAGCCTGAAGGCTTTTCTCTTTTTGGCAAAGGACGTTTTAACGGATTAACCTTGTGTAGTAACTTTGAGTAGGTCAATTGTTCCACCATACAAGTGCAAAAGCCACCATGACTTGACTATCATATTATATCCTGATGGTCAAGTATAGGTTTATGGCATGATTAGGATGTTTGTTTTACTTTGTATGAAATGTGATATATGAAGCAATTTTATTATGCCATTTTGGATTATTTTATCATTAGCTTACCCTATTTTATGTATTCTTTGTTGTTTTATTACTCTATGTTGATTCTTGGGCAATGATCATCTGGTGGATGTGAGTAAAGAGAGATGGAGTGTCTTTGGAGCAAGCATTAGGTGGAGATGTCACCAACGTGTAATTATCTTAATATAGACTTGTGTTCTTTAGTTTTAGATAAACCATTTTGTACATAGTTTTGATTTAGGATCTTGTGTATAAAGTTAATTGTAGTTATGTTTTGTATAATTGTAATGCGATTTTATATTCTCCTTTTTAGTTAATTGTTTTATTGTATTGACTATGTGATGATTCTTATATAATAATTATAATATTTTAATGGGTGTTAGAATAAACTTGATTTCTGTTATATTAGATTATTGATTTAATATTATTATTTTACTTAATCAATTATTTTTTCATTTTTAATAAAATATATATTTTATAAAAACAAAAATACAACTATTTAAAATTATAATGAAATATAATTTCTTACCAAAATATTACTTGAAATCTAATATATATATATATATATATAACTTTAGATAATAAAATCTAGAAGCATAACTATTAAAAATATCACTTGATATCAATCTTTAATTCAATAACTAATTACATTCTATTAATTTCCATTTTTCTACTAAAAGTTAATTTTGGGAAAGATGAAAAATATATCTTACAATAGAAGATAAAATATAGCTCATCTAGAAAAAAAAAATTCATATATAAAATAAGTAGCTGAATAGTTACTTACTAGTAGGCCAGAAAGAGAATAGAGAATGGGAATAATACTTTACTTACGTATACCAGAAACAGTTATCAACAGCAGCAAAACCTTATCAAACAATATTTTACTGTGTGATGGAAATAATTTACTGGTACAAGTAAGAAATTAGGATTTATGAAGAAGCTTGATTCTACCTAACCCAGAAAGAAATGTGGAAATAGAGGGCTATAGCCAGAATAACGAAGCCTGCACCACTCAAAGTAGAAGAGAGGCTACAAGCACTGTGAGAGAGGAGATGGTGAAGCAGACAGCAAACTTAGGCTGTGCATTTTGTGTTGGTTGTGCTCCTGGTGCTCCAGCAATAGAACTAGATGGGACTATTTCAGAAGAGGGAGCCAAAGGGGGTTCTGTTACATTAGCTTCAATCAGGGGAGGGATTGGAGCCATAGCTGGTGGTAAGGAAGATTTGTCTATGAGTTGAAAAAGGCCTCCTATTTCAACTGGTTTCATGTAATTAGGAGTGCTGTTACCCAAATTTAAGCATCTGTTCCCTGCAGTAGGATGATGAAAATCATAAGCAGTAACTCAGACTTCATATGGTAGATCTGAATTTAATAGTAGGAAAAAACAAAATGAGTGAAGCCTATTTGAATTTATTGGAAAAATGAACCTTAAATGAATTACAAGAACCATACATAAAAGGTATGCACTTACTTCTGTATCTGTTGGCTGTTTGAGGGAAGCCTGTGATGAGACCATCAATGCGAGCATCCTGAACAAATGTGTTGATCTGCACAATTGGATCTGACAGGAAATCCCATGGCTGAGATACATATTCATTGTGGAATGTTTGTACGTAAACAGAGAGATTAGAAGATTTTAACTTTGGCACCGTCTTTGTAGAGCCAGTCAGGAAGTATTCATTTGTCAGGTACACAGAACCCTTTTTGATAACCACAGAACTAGCAAATCTTTTGATATCCGAAAGAGCTGAATCAGTGATATCACCAACAAACTCATCAATCATGTAGACAAGTTCATACTTTGTTTTCTCTTTGAATTTCAGTAGAACAGAACTGTCAGTAGACTGAATCATAACGTTTGGAGCCCCTGGTTTATCATAATCTGCTTTGCTCAAACTATCAATGACTGCATCAATCACGCTTAAGTTTTGTTTCCTTGCAAGATATGGTGCATTCTGACAAATGTAGAAAACAACGTAATTTCAGTTTAAACGAGAACAAATAAATTTTAGAAATTCATTATCTTATCATTTGACATGCTAAGAATACGCTAATATTATCATTTCTTCAAAAATATAATTCCTCACCCGAACACCACAGCCTTCTTGACCATTGTAAGGTAAGTTCTATTAGGTTTCAGGGTCATAACCCCACAAACCTTAATAATTTAGGGCACAGAGAAATATTAACTTTGAAGCCCAAATATGCTTATGGAACTGCCAATTAAACCCATTGCTTTTATCATTGTTGTTTTAATCACGATAACCATGAAGGAGATAATGACAATAAAAAATTGTACTTTGGATCCAACTCCATCCTAGCAACTCCCATAATCGACACACTTCAAGTATATTCGAATATAAAAAAGGTAACAAATATTAGATTGTAAAGTGTGAAATATTATTCAAATCTTAAATAATTAAATGTATATTTTTTATTTAAATTTGTATTTCTGAAGTCTTTTTTTTTTAATACATGATAATTTCATATCAAGTATACCTTCTCAACATTTTCCATTCATTGCAGTGATACATTTATATTTTTATAAGGTTTTACGGTATGAAAAAATCTCCTACAACTTTGGCCGCATAATTCGAATCTTTTTTTTTCTTCAAAAAATAGATCAGTATTTTAAAAACATCAGTTTTCTACCTTTTAGCTAAAAACATGTCATTTGAGTTCCTAAAGATCTCATTTTTCAAAATAATTGAAAAATACTTGTGATATGAACTATTAGAAAAAGAAAATTGATATGAGAAACCTTTTACAATTTTAAAGATAATGTTGTGTTAAAAAATAGTTTTCATAATTATAAAAAAAAACAGAATACAAATCTCAACTTATTATACAAATTTATTGGAATAAAATATTGTTGCCTATAAAAGAATTTTATTTTCTTTTTCTATAATTATAATTAATGCATTACACTATTTAATATATATTTTATAATACTTTTTAATTATATATATATATATATATATATATATATATATATATATATATATATTTTAAATGTTACTAAGAGTAACACTTTTTAAAAGATATAGTTAATTCTATATTAATCACACTTTAATATATAAATTTTATATAAAAATCATATTAATATTAATATATTTTAGTATTATATATAAAATATTAATGTTATATGTATTTAATATATAAGTATAATTATATTAAATTAATATTGATTTATATCAAATTATTATTTATGATATTAATATTTTAACTTACACGTTGAAATATATATATATATATATATTAGTTTATGGCTTAATACCTTTTTTGTTTCTCGAAAGAGAGAAATGTTTATCTCAAGTTGTGAAAAAACAGGTGAAGTTAATGTTTTTCGCTTTGTGTCAAAAATCTAATGGTGTAGGTGCTCCCTGGACAAAACATAATGAGTTGTCCAATTGTTGTCATTACGTGGTACTGTGAGGTTAAATGACGTGTAAAATTTAAATTTGAAAAAAAAATTGACAGAAGGTTAAAAGAAAAGAAGTTGCTTGCTCTGCGTTGTAGAAGATGCAGATGTTGATGGCGTGATGAAGACTGGCGATGAAGGGTTTGCTTACAGGTTTGAAGAGTTTGAGCGCTGATGGCAAATTTTGGTTCGGTGATTTTCGCCGGAAGGTTGAGCGTTTTTTTATTCGCGATGAACTTGCAATTAGGGTTCCTAATTTGGGGTTTCCTATCCTACGATTAGTGTTCATTTGGAATTTGGTTTTCCCAGGTTCTCGATGATTATGTATGAGGCTCGATTTGGGTTTCTTTAGGTCTTTGCGGTTTCTTGCAGGTTTCGAAGGCGGAGATTTGTGGAGGAGCTCGTGTTTTGGTTACCATGGACAATATTGTGATTGAGTTTTGTGATGAAGGAGATGCGCGATTTGCTCGTAGATTTGGGATTAGAGGTTTCACTATGGTTGAATCGCAAGGAAGGAGATGAAAATTGGCCATGCTGGCTGGTTGTGATTGTTCGCGGTTGTTGATGGAGTTCACATGGTTGTTTCTGAGTTTTTTCAAAAGTCTGGCAGAGAAGATGATGGTGGTTTTTTGGTTTTGTTGCGGTGGCACATGGAGGAGGAAAATATGATTTGGTTATTAGGAAGAAGCTGGTAGCCTTAGCGGTGGTCTGAGGTGTTGATGACGACGGTTTGTGACTCTAACGTTTCTGGAGGTGGAAGATGAAATAAATTCAAAATTGACATGTCATTTTATGTGTCAGGTATGAGAAAAAGTGAACAACTCATTAAATTTTGACCACGAAGGCCACTGCACGTTATATTTTTTACGCCATAAGCAAAATCAAATTAATTTTATCCGTTTTTTCACAACTTTATACTCTTTCCAACTATTTTAGAAAAGTATGACCACTTTAAACATTTTACTCTTTCGAGAGACCAAAATAAATATTAAGATTTAGTTTATTTACAAAAACACTTGTCAGTTTATATATAGCATATTTATTATACTAAAAAGCATTTCTGAAAATTATCTAAGAAAATATATCTAGTTTTTCAAGTAATAAAATTATTTAATTAGTTTTAAACAAACGTACACTGTTTTAGTAAATAAAAAAGATTATTTTTATTTATTAAAGAAAATAATAATCTAATTATAAAAGATAATTAAATAAAATTTTATATTTTATAATATATATATATATATATATATATATATATAATATTATATATTTAGTTCTTTATGTTTTAAAATATCAATATTTTTATTTTAATGTTATCATTATTTTTATTTAATATTTTAGTTAACACTGGCCACGGAATCATTCAACCAGTTCTCGTCTTCCAGCTCCAATGGAGAGCCTGTGGCGCGCGGCGCTTGGCATGTCGGAGAATTCCACCAACTACGACGGCGTCGAGTTTTGGTCCAATCCCGAGCGAACTGGATGGCTCACCAAGCAGGGCGAGTACATCAAGACCTGGCGCCGCCGTTGGTTCGTCCTTAAGCAGGGCAAACTCTTCTGGTTCAAGGACTCCGCCGTCACACGCACCTCTCGACCACGCGGTGTCATCCCCGTCGCCACGTGCCTCACCGTCAAAGGCGCCGAAGACATCCTCAACAAGCCCAACGCATTTGAGCTTTCCACGCGCTCCGACACCATGTACTTCATCGCCGATTCCGAGAAGGAGAAGGAGGACTGGATCAACTCCATCGGTCGCTCCATCGTCCAGCACTCCAGATCCGTCACTGATTCCGAGATCGTCGATTATGATAACAACTCCGCCAAGCGCTGATGACGTGCTCTGCTATCCAATTGCCTCTTTCGGTGAATTCTCCTTTTCTTTGTCCGTTTTACTGTATTTGTGTACATTATAATTTATTACATCGACGCCGATCGTGCTCGTTCTTGCGAGGAAACTCTGTTTATGTACCTAAACTGCTATGAAATTGTAATGTTTTTGGGTTTCGTGGATATGTCCAATCTTTTCGATGTAATTGTAATAGTACGGTGAAAACTTATAACAAGTTATGTATTAGAGATCTCTTCCTACTCTGGATCGATGCAAACCCAAGGTTCATGAAAGCTATTGTCCGCTTTTGGCTCTTGGTATCACTCCAAAAGTTTTCTGATAGTGTATATAAATCTATGATTATCTCTAATTTTTTATCTTTAATTTTATGCGATGTGTGACTTTGTGTGTACCAACATGGTTTCAAAAGGAAGCTTTCCCAGAAATTGAAAAAGGAAAACACTCAAACACTTCTTCGGTGACAGCAGATTGATGTTTGATCATTGTAAGCATTGCAAAACATATTAGAGACAGCATTTGAATTAACAAAATTATCGACACAAAAACAACTCACAAACTCGAAATTTTACCCTTACTTTCGTGACGTACTAAATAGACATTTAAAAATCAAGTGGTTTATTAGTTTAGTATTTGATATTGTCTTATCTCAAGAAATATTGTTCCTCCAGTAATAAGGATTACTACATGGCTATAACAGCAAAACAATTCATAGTTTAATTTAATGCCTAGGTACATCTAGTTCTCTAATTTTGTATTCATTTTTCTCAAAGTTGATTAGAACATTCAGAAGTAGTTACCTAATGCTGCCAACAATAGTTACTTGACTGTCTCCTTATTGCTACTTGGGTGTTTACAAGGATGAAATTAATGCCTCTCAATGATCATGACAAATGATTTTTTTATGGTTTACCACATCTTTCACAGTTAACTGTGCCTTACTGCATTTTACTACAGATATTACATGTTCCCATAATTTACAGTCAATGGAACGAATTAAAGACTAAATTACTGAAATAATGGTCAGAACAGAACGTACCTCAATGATGATCACAACACCTAGACCTTGCGTGGAATTCAAAAACTCTGACAATGTTAACAATTTTACTGTCTCGTTAAATTTTGGATTTCTATACAAATTGGAGTTGCTAAACGGGCTCAGCATTGAGGCTGCAGGGAAAAGGAAGAAAAGAAAAATACAGCCATCAAATATTTGTTTTTACATTTTCGTATATTGATAGGTAAAATATATTCATACAAAAGGAAATGCAACCGAGGGCCAAAACAAAAAGCATGAGATTAGTCTTTCAAACAGTAACAAATACTCGGGATTTGTCAGATCAGGGATAGGTCCATATCCAGCCTTAAATCATATATTTTACACATGAAAACACTATGACAACTAAAATTGATTATTCTGTGAAGAAAGGTTTTGTTCCAATTATTCCTAACACATGATTTGCTTGCATTGTGTATTTATATCTAATTAGACATGAAATTTCACTTAATTAAGGTATAAGGCATTCACTGTTTGATAAGTCTCTTGTATAAATAACCTGAATGAAGAGTATTGGACCATTTGACTTACGGGTCAAGCTTGATATATCATTCCAATACAAGTCGAATGCAAATATTCCATCACCAGATTGGATATCTGGAATAGATTTGCTAAGGCTGCTGAATTCTGATCGAGCAACATTTGTGTTCGGGATAAGATCAATAGAGCTAAAGCAAAACGGTATTCCATCCTTTGACATCTGAACAGGACAGTCAAGAACATCCGCACCATCTGAAAAAGCCTTTTCATACGCTAAGTCGGTACAAGGAGGATATTCTCCACTCGCTCCATATTTTGAGATGACCAAAGTGTTTACTGAGACATGATCAAAATGAACGTATCTGGTTAGCAATGATGCAATTTACACCAGCATAGAACTGCACATGAATCAAGCAGGGATAGACTAAAGAACAAGATGAGTACATAATCATACAAGCATCACAAAGCATTGATTTTAGGGATTTTTCTTCCTGCATCCCATATTACCAGAAAAAAACTAAAGTTCTCTCCTTCACGCCACAGCTGCTGCTATTGCTGCCGCTAATGTCGCTGCACCTCGTTCTCCAGTACACTCAGTGAGCGGAAGAAGAGAGAGCTCATTTTGGAAAGTTCATTTCGAAAGCTATCATTTATATTCTGAAAAGTTTATTCTAAAAGTTTTGTTCTGAAATATATCATATATGTTCGAAAAAACTTATTTTGGAATTTTTTTTTGGGAAAGCTCATTTCAAAATGCATTTTCAGAAAGTTAGTTCTAAAAATTCCAAAAAGTTTGTTTCGAAAGATTAGGTAATCAGGAAATCAGAAGTAGGAAGAAAAAGCCTGACTTTTAACGCACCTTTTTTCGGATCATTGAGGCCCATGTGTGCAAAGCAGTCTGCATAATAAGAACAGAAATGAATAGTCATATCCATCCTAATGAACAAATACAATCTCTCCGTAGAAGAAAAATGGTAATAGTAGGCAAGATGCTATCAGTTTGTACAAGAAAGGTTATCCTAAAAAAATGGAGAAACGTAACTTACCTATAGCTGCAGATGACGTTAGAGGGAAGTCAGACAACACACCATCAACAGAGAAGTTTCCATTCTCAATGAAACTTAGGTGCTCGGCAATAGGGTCATAGCTGTAATCGTAGCTGATTGGAATATCATTCATGAAAGTTGAAGCAAAGACTTCCAGCCCCACTGTGTGCGCATCGGAGACCAAAGATGTATGAGGTTGTAGATAATGACTCTTTGGATCCACAGGCCATATGTAGCCTTTGGGAACAAGAATTCCTGAAGCAAATGTCTTGATAGATGTTAGATTTTTTAACAGTGAAGCATAACTCTGGTTGGTTGATGGATCTACTTCCTCGTTTTCCGGAAACCTGAAGACCAGTTTTGTTGTTTTTGGATTGATGAATGTTCTAATGCTTCTGAGGAAACCAGCTTCAGGTGATGAGATGTAACTGACATTTACTGTTGTGGAAACAGAACGTACGAAGTTTTTCATACTCAATTTGTGTTGTGTGTAGAATGCATCATGCTGCAAAATATCCGAAAAAAGAGACGTTTAGTTTTGTGAAAAACTAGAATACTACGTAAATGAAAATCATTATACCTGTATATTCAACCACAATCCTGGCGGGGATGCTGTTTCAACCACATCATTCACAGAAAGAATTTTGAATGCATTGTTATCAAGCCTGTTTGTTCGTGCGTAATTTCCCTGAACCACTGTCCAGTAACTAAAATAGTCAGCAATTAATATATCTATCTATCTGTGTGTGTATGTAATTCATAGTAAATGACAGATATTGCCAGATGAAAAATGTACATATGCTGCTTAATCGATGACTTACCTTGAAGTTGATTTGGAGAACAGGATTGAAGATTTCAATTCATTTATAAAGATCGAGAAAGAGATTACGGCATAATCTATCAAAAGATTAGCCTTTTTTCTATTATCATCAATAATCAATGTCCCATACTCATTGTAATAAGCAAATATGTATATAAACTCTAGGCCTCAAAAATGATAATTTCTATTGCAAGATAGTATCCATCATATTCCCAGAACAATCTACTATTATGGAAACACATTTTTCTTGATTGTATAAGTTGCCATTAAATTATCTAATTAAGAACGGTATTAATTATTGAAGACACAGCTCTGATCGGTCCTCTCCTGCAGATAAACACTCCGACGCTCAAGTCAGTCTTTTTCCAAAAAGTCTCAACACTGTCATTATTTCGATCAAAAGTCTTTTTCCAAAAAGTCTCAACACTGTCATTATTTCGATCAAAAGTACCTTTACCTGGACCTCCATCTCATATTTATAAACTTGATTTCTAATAACAACGGTTACGTGTTAATTAATGCCATATTCATTTCATATATTTTATTTCCTATTGCTCGCTACCGCATTGATTGACCTTTAATGCTCTTTAATCGCCTATGATTCGCCTCCTCCCCCTCTCGGCTTTAACCGATCGGGCCATCTCCTTATCAAACTGAGCCTCCTTCCGTGCCCACTGGGTACACTACACTACATAAGCCCCCCAAGCCCCAAGCGAAAGTAAACGCGAAAGGGGTGGTGCCCCGTGAATCGTAGTGACTGTTGATTGATTGAACATGACATACTTGTTGGAGCTGAAAGGTTGCGCCTTTCCACCTGAACACTGCCATTTCATGCGAAGAGTCACATCTTTTCCACCGTTAGATCTCTTGGCCATGGAGGGCATTGATCCGCTCTTAAAACTGCTTTTGCGTGCTATAAATAGGGACAGGGTCCACTTCATTTTCGTTGCATTCCTTCTTCCTTTCCCGCTCCGAATCTCACTACCAAAAAAGGTGATTATGTCTTCCTCCACCTGGTCTACCGATGAGCTTGCTGGCGAAGGTCGCGGGTATGCTGACGATGCGGAAGAGTCATCACCGTCAGTGGGGTCCTCAATCCTAGGGTCAGAAGGCGACAGTGGTCGTCCCGGGCACACCTCCGATGAAATCATATTAAACGTTGACAACTCTCTCGAATGGTACGGGATCAACCCACCCTCACAGATAAAGGGGTACCAATGGGCTCCCCATGAGGTTTGTTGTTACTCCCCCTACTTCACTACTAGCAAATCCATAACGCTATTAGTTGAACGAGTGGATTTATTGACCGACCTAAAGGATGCGGAATACATCTCTTTAGTAGTATGCCGACCGAACGAGAGGGCTTGTCACGGTCGTGAAGGTTACGGATTAGATTTCTTCTATGTCTATGTTACCTTATTCCGCGATTTGGGGGTCCGTCTTCCCTTTTCTGAGTTTCAAATGGGTGTTTTGCGGGAACTCAACGTTTTCCCTACCCAACTTCATCCCAATGGGTGGGCCTTTATGCAAGCCTTCTGCGTCCTGTGTACCGCTCTGGTCTTAACCCCTACTCCAGCTTCTTTCCTCTACTTCTTTCGCGCTCTTCCTCACCCGAACAAATCTTGGATATCTCTAACCCCTGTAAAGGATATGTAGCTATTTACCCTGTTTAACACTTCGTACAAAGATTTCAAAACTAACTTTTTCAAAGTTGCCATAAGATGTTCCGACCAGTCAAAGTTTTATTTCGATGACGGCCAACCAAAGTTCCCATTTTACTGGACCGAGAATCCTAGGAAAGTGATCTCCTAGGCTAAAGCTGACATGACTCCCGAAGAAATAGATATTATCGGCCAAATCAACCAGTTACCCCGCAAGACCTCGTCTCACAAGCTCATCGGCCTACTTGGGTCTGACACTCTACGTGCTAGAGTGTTCGGTAAGTTGTCTTTTACTTCCTATTTGTTGATCAATCACTATTGACTCGTCTAAATTTGTCTTATCATTTCAGATATATTTGGCGGGATGGAGAAGCATCAAGCTTTCTTACGCATGATGTCTCGTAAGAAGGACCTAGAGAAATCAGGCGCAGGCGCTTCCTCCTCGAAGATGGTCGCTCCTAAATCTCCTTATACCCATGCAAATACCACCCTGAAGGCTTCCGATTCCTCAAAACCTTCTGTCGCCTCTACCAAGCCCCCGAGCACAAATGCTTCAAGGGATGATTCGAAGAAGAAAATCCCTCGTGACAAACTCGTTCCTTCCAATAAGAAAAGGAAGATCACTGGTCCCCTTGACCCGCACGTTCAAGTCGTCGAACGACTTCAATTTAACCTTACCCCTGAGGAAAAAACTCCTTTCAAACAAATGTCACCCGGGGAAGCTTTGGACATGGCCTACGAACTCACGTCTCGGGCCATCATCTGTATGAATTACGCTGTTGGTTCCACCAAATCTCTGTTAGCCGAAGAGCTGGACACCGTGCGATAAGAATTAGAAACCTCCAATATCCATTCCCCACTAGGCAAACGACCAAGGGGAAATGACACCGTGTAACTCCGTAGCTGGGGCATTGAAAACATTATTGTGTTCCTGGCAACTTACACATTTTTGCACGAAACCACCACAATCTTTTTCCATCGTCGGCCAAAAGAAATTTGCCATCAATGTTCGAGCTCTGACCGCTCGACCTCCCGTCTATCTGCCATAAATCCCTTCATGCAACTCCCTCATAACGTACTTAACCTCTTCTTTGGATAAGCACTTCAACATCGGCGTAGTATAACCTCTTCTATACAAATCCTCTCCCACCATAATGTATCTAGCAATTCTTTTCCCCTCCTTCATTGGGAGGGTTATTCCCCCCGTCCTGCTCCTTCATCAGCTGAATCACTTCCTTCCTCCAATCATTTTGTCTGACGGTGTTACATACATGAAGATAATCAATGGTTGGTTTCATTAAGACTTGCCTAATAACAATAAGACAATTGTCCCTTCTCCTTTCCCCCGGCCAGCTTGGACAACCTATCTGTCCGAACATTTTCCTCTCGAGGAATATGTTTCACTTCCACAGTTTTAAACTGAGCTTCCGCTGCTTAGCCTTGTGAAAGTATTGCAATAAATGATCATCCTTGACCTGAAAATTACCCTTCATATGCCCCTCCACCAGCTGAGAATCCGTCCTGCATTCCAGGAATTCGACTCCCAAATCTCGTGCCAACTCCATGCCTGCCAATAGAGCTTCATACTCCGCCTGATTGTTACTTACTTTGAACCTAAAGATTAATGACTGCTCGACAATTATCCCGTGCGGTCCCTCGACCCATCAACATAAAGCCTCCAACGTCCCTCTCCCCCCTCTTCTATAGGTAGCTCAACAGCAAAATCAGCCAAATGTTGCCCTCGTACCGACCCGCGCGGCTCGTAACGCAAACTGAACTCTGAAAGCTCAATCGACCATCCCGCCATTCTGCCAGCCAAGTCTAGCTTTCGCAAGATTTTGGCTACAAGATAATCGGTTCTAACCATCATCTGATGCCCTTGAAAATACGGTCTAAGTCTCCGAGCGGCATTAAGCAAGGCTAAGGCCACCCTCTCCACTTGTTAATAACAAGTCTCGGGATCCTTGAGACTCATGCTTAAGAAATAAACTAACTTAAACTTTGGGGTTTTTTGTACCAAGGCAGCACTGACTGCCCCATCCGTCGCCGCTAAGAAAAGTTGCAACTCATGTCCTGGCTCCAGTCTCCCCATGACAGGCAGTTCAGTAAGAATTTCCTTCACCTCTGTAAAGGCCTTCTTACACTGATCACTCCAGCTTCCTTGGGAATTTTCTTCATTACCCTCAGTATAAGGCGTATACGCTCGGCTAGCTTGGGAATAAACCTGGATAAGGAGGTTAGACGCCCTACTAGCCTTTGAACTTCCTTGATGTTTTGTGGGCTCCTCATCTCCAGCACCGCCCTACACTTGTGAGGATTAGTCTCAATTCCCTGTGCCGTCAACATGAATCCCAGAAACTTTCCTGCTGGGACACCGAACGTGCACTTTGTTGGATTCAGCCGCATTTCAAACCGACGCAACTGCTCAAACACTTCCTCCAAATCTTTCACATGCTCCTCCACCGTCCGACTTCTTACAACCATGTCGTCTACGTACACCTCCATGCACCTCCCGATCTGCTGTTGGAACACCTTGTCCATAAGCCGCTAGTACGTGGCCCCCGTGTTCTTCAAACCAAAGGGCATCACATCGTAGCAATAATTAGACCGTTCAGTTATAAATGTTGTCTTCTCTCGGTCCGGATGATACATGGGAATTTGGTTATATCCCGAATACGCATCAAGGAAGCTAAGCACCTGATACCCCGAGGCTCTATCCACTAGCCCATCAATGCTGGGAAGCGGGTACGCATCCTTTGGGCATGCTTTATTCAAATCAGTAAAGTTGGTGCACATTCTCCATTTTTCGTTGGATTTCTTCACCATCACCACATTGGCCAACCAAGTTGTGTACTTTACTTCATGAATAAAACCTGCCTCCATAAGCTTCCGGACCTCCTCGTCCACTGCTCTTCTTTTTTCTAATCCCAGCCTCCTCCTTTTTTGGGCGATTGGCCGTGCATTTGCAAACAAGGATAGCTTGTGAGAAATTACACTAGGATGAATCCCCGGCATATCAGCTGTCGTCCACGTGAATAGATCTTTATTTGCCATCAAAACCCGACAAACCTCTCGACTCTATGGCTCCGTAAGGCTTCTACCAATGGTAGTACTCTGATCCCCCGTCGTTCCCCATACAAACGGTTGTACCTCCCCCAACGGTTCCATCCGGTCTTCCATGTTCATCCTCAGGTCCAGCTCCGCCATAGCCACTTGCGATCCTCCTACCTTCGTAGTTGAAACCCGTGGTTTCACTTTTAACCCCGCCACATAGCATTCTCGAGCCACCTTTTGATCCGCCCTAACAACCCGAATTTTCCAATCGTCAGATGGATATTTCAGTGTCAAATGCGGAGTAGATACAATGGCCCCGAAGGCATTCAAACATGGTCGGCCTAGCAAAACATTATAAGATGTGTTAGCTCCCACCAGCCAAAATCGAACTCTCAACTCCTTGGCGCTATTCTCCGCCCCCAAGCACATTCTCAGATCAACATAACCCCTCGTATCTACTCTTTCCCCTGCAAATCCCAAGATTTGCTCATGGAATGGCATGATCATGTCCTCCGAAAGGTCCATTTGCTGAAAAGTCTTCCAGTACAAGATGTTGGCCGAACTTCCCTGGTCGACCAGAACCTTACCCACACTATACCGGACAATCACCGCCGTTATGACCATCAGATCATCCTAATTAGGATCAGGAGCATGAAAATCCTCGTCCGAAAAGGTTATCCTCGGCATTGATCTTTTTGTCACCTCCACACGGTGAACACTATGCAGACTTCTCAAGTGCCGCTTTCGCACTGATGCCGAAGGTCCCCCACCAGCAAATCCTCCCGAAATAGTATTAATTACGCCCCGTAAGGGTCGTTCTCTGCTCCTACTTCGGCTTCTCCGATCCTTCTTTGACCGGTCATCCTTCCCAAGATAATTACTCCTCTTAGGTGGACGTCCGGCTTCTCCCGGGGGGCTTCGTCCCTTATCTTGTACATACCTTCTCAAATGCTCTACCTGTACTAAACTTTCCAGTTTATCCTTCAGTGTAATACAGTCCTTCGTGGTGTGTGCCAGGTTCTGATGATATTGACAATGCTTCCGCCCATCAGCCCCCTTAGGAGTAGGCGATTGTGCTAGGGTTAGCAAGTCAGCCCTTAACGCTTCCTCCATCACCTTCGCCCTTGGTGCATTCAAAGGCGTATAATGAACGTACCAAGGCACCCTGGGAGGTCTCTATGCCTCTGCTCGCTTGCTCCTTCACTTCTCCCCAACATCCGTCCTCCATCCTTCCTCCCCTTGTTGGATCTGGCTAGCGGAAGCGCCTCTTCTCTCTGTGCTTGCTAGAAAGCACGCCCCTCTTCAATTCGAATAAATCTTGCTGCCCTATTCTGCAGCTCGGCCAACATCTGGGGTTCCTCTGCATAAAGGAAGTCCGCAAAAGGGCTCGATCTCAACGTCGTTGTCAGGACACCTATGATTAACTTCTGGTCCACATTTCTTATTTGACGCGCGGTTTGATTAAAGCGGTCCATAAACGCCTTAAGTGTTTCATCTCTCCCTTGCCTCATCCGGACTAAAGCAAGATACGACAATCCCTGCGTTTTGTTGGATGCGTATTGTTGACTGAATAAATATCTTAGCATTGCGAACCTGTCCAACGTCTCCGGTTGCAGTGAATGAAACCAATCCAACGCCTCATCTTTCAGAAACAATGAGAACACTCTGCACCAAACCGAATCATCTGAAGAATAAATCGCCATGGCATCAACAAAAGACCTAAGATGCTTTTCAGGATCAGTTATCCCTCCATATTTTTCCATTACCGGGAGAACTTTATTTTCAGGCATGGGCGCCCTCATCACCGCTGCGGTAAAAGGATGAAGCCCCTCAGCTTGATCAGGGCGTTCAACAAGCACTAAATAGTCTTCACGGACCGGGTTGTTCATAGGTATTGGATTCTCCACATTGTATCCCGGCCGATTTCCCGCATTTTGCCCCTCGTGATTCTCCACATTCTGCCCTGCCTGATTCCCTGCGTTATGCCCAGCTTGATTCTCCACATTTCTCCCTCCACCCTGCATGTTACGTCTTGAGGCATTAGTTACTTCTTGCGTCCCCTTTTCACGCGTAGGATGGTTACTCTCCCCCCATTCTCCGGATTGGTGACCTCGTTATTCACCGACTGCACCGACACCCCGTTGCCCCGATCCACCCTTATTGCAACCATCTCCGCTCTCAACTCCTGCATCTGCCTTTGCATTTCTTGTAACACCTGTAACTGAAGCTCCTCTGTCATTGCGGTCTCACTTGGGTTTCCTCAACACACTCTCGGCCCCACGGTGGGCGCCAAAATGTTTCAGTATGTAGGTCCAAGACTGTGCTACCTTCTCTTCCAATGTGCTGCCAATGCGTCCTCCCTCAAGATATCAACTCCACAGCTCTGATCGGTCCTCTCCTGCAGGTAAACACTCCAACGCTCAAGTCAGTCTTTTTCCAAAAAGTCTCAACACTGTCATTATTTCGATCAAAAGTACCTTTACCTGGACCTCCATATCATATTTATAAACTTGATTTCTAATAACAACCGTTACCTGTTAATTAATGTCATATTCATTCATATATTTTATTTTCTATTGCTTGCTACCGTATTGATTGACCTTTAATGCTCTTTAATCGCTTATGATTCGCCTCCTCCCCCTCTCGACTTTAACCAATCGGGCCATCTTCTTATCAAACTGAGCCTCCTTCCGTGTCCACCGGGTACACTACACTACAGTGATCATGTGCATGCAGGGCATGCCGTCGGCTATTTCCAGAGGTAAAACCTTCCAGGGTTGGGAGGGCTCTAAAAATTTTAAAACTAACATATGTATTTGGTTATTACATTCATTTCTTCATATTGAAATTTTTTTGAGAAATTTCTTTATCTTTTAGAAGATTTTTTTAATAATTTTGTTTATTCTTATACACTCTTTTGAAGATTCAAATCATATAGATATAAAGACTAATAATAATATATAATGGAAGCACAAATCTGAGTTTATATACTCTGAAATTATAAGTTAAGCACGACTTAACACTTACTAAAATGGTGTTATAGTGTATCATAGTAAAATTTCTTCAACCATAACTTATGAGTAAGGGTGTGGTTAAAAAATTAAGTATTGTAACTATAGAATGATTAGAAAATAATTATAGATGACTTATATGATATCTTTATAAACTATACTTTTTAAGTATTTTTATATTTATTTTATTGATAAATTAGTACCACATCCCATGAACCAATTCACTGAGTATAGTCAGCTTCTAATTGTGCCAACCGACTTCTGTAGATTTTATTTAATCTAATCTAACCCATTTTAAGTGTTTGTATTCTTAACAAATATATAATTAACTAAATTAATCAATTTTTTAATCTATGCAAATTAGTTAAAAGAATCTTATATATGCATGTAGAGATGGAGGAATGCATGATATTGTGTAACAATTAAATACATCATTAACATGAGTAGAACTTACGGAAGACATTGTTGGAACGTAGCTCCTTTAAGGTGTAATCCACAGAAAAATAGCCGCTGGTTATTACACCATTAACTGGGTAAGTGCTACTTTTATATTTAGCAATTTGAGCAATATTAGTGGCATTTTCAAGCTTGAGGTCCGGGACGCAAATCCCCAGCGAATCTTTCGTTAATTGCACGTCACACCATAGAATGACATTTTTTAAACTAGCAATTACAGCAAAAAGATACGCACTATCACTGGAATCAGGAAATATCCCTGAAAAACCACCACGAGCTATGACCAACGGTGGATTTCCTGCACCATACAACTCCTCCATGTCAGCTTCAAGACACAAAGTACACACCGCATTTTTTCCATAAAAATCCATTCAAAGGACATGCAAAACTCTATTCACTGTGCCTTTCTAAATTACATAACCAAACTTTAAGATCTAACATCATTAAGATACATTTGTAGGAATTTCCATACAAGTTTATATTTAATAATTCACAAAGTTTTGGATTTGATGACGAAAACACAAGGAAAATATTAAAGAAAATAATTATATCATAAGAGAAGAGTGCATATTAAAACTAGTAGGCGTTTTCTAGCTATTCCTCATAAGAGTATTACGGTTTCAGGCTAATACCACATAAAGTTGTTCTACATAATAAAAGTGAAATTTATCATTAGAACAAAATTTGAATGAGATCTTGAAAGATCTTATATCCTAAATGACATAATTGCACTAAAGATGTTCAGCGGAGGAATAAATATACTAGTCGAAGTTGTAGGGATGATGAGAGTGGTGTTATTTTCTCTGTTCCGAGTGACAGTAAGTAAGGGTTTAGGTAGCCCGAAAAGAAAATAAAAATATATGAAATTATGTGACGCAAATAGGATGCGGGAAGAAACTGCTTTTAAGAAGGTAGATTAAGAGATGTGGGGGCCTTGAAGCCAAATTGATAGAGAAAAGTTTGTCTTTAATGTGGGATAATGAAGAAAGAATTATGTTAACATATAGTTACTTTCAGTTCTGAATTTTTCTTAGACATTTGTTTCATTATTATAAAGATGGTTGAAAAAAAAAGGTTAAATCAAATTAAAGAGATACTTTGTATATCAATTTTAACGACAAAAATTAAAATATGGATTTCATTTTGACACGAATATAAAGATTAAAATCATTATAAATTATTTAAATATTTGTATTTCTTTCACACCTCTACGTATGAAAAAGTATTATATGCTCATGTATTACTACCTAATAGTCCCCACTAATTCTACGCATTAATTTTTAATATAAAATAAAATACTTTATGATGACTTAGTAGTTTATGTTTATGACTAATAGTACTTGAGATATTTCCGTGAAGGGAGTGATGATCCTGGGGATGCAACCGTCTGGGACACACATTTTAGAGATGAATTTACATATACAAACACGAAAGAAATGTAATAAACACAATAAATATATATTATAAAATTTTCAAAATGTTTCTTTTTATCTTTATAACTTTTTCTTTACAATACTCATTGATTGTAGTTGTTATGATCTCTCTGTCAGAAAGGGGGAAGATTTTCACCTTCCATACCGTGATTTGTAACTTTTGGTTACTTATTTATCTCTATAACGGGGCTGACGTTTGTACCATATCTTTCTGAAGGTGGCACTATCTGATTGGTTTATTTCATTATCAATTAATTTCTGTTTTAAAATTATAATTCATTTATTTGTATATTTGATTTATTGCAAATTTTGTGTATTTATACTCATGACAATAATAAATATATAAGTATATAGAATACAGATGTTCAAGAATAGTAGGGAGAAAACATCTTCGTTTCATGTATACCAAATAAAAAAAATGTTTGATAGATTGAAGGAACACTTGATCAACACAAATAACAAAACACAATATTAAAGATAGAATGGAAAAATATTTCTAATAAATATATCGATCAATATGAAAAAAAAAAATTCAATTAAGTTTGTGTCTTTGTTACAGTAATTTTTATCTTAATACATATGCACTCTAGATCAATAATGTTAATATGTAATATCAGTGGCTTTTATAACGAGCTTCTTGAACGAGAAGATGAAATTTAAAGTGTGCAAAAATATATCTAGTAATTGCAATAAAAATTTTGATTTCTCATTTTCATTATTCAAAAGTGGTCATTTATATTTAAATTTTTTAAGTTTTGCTATTAAAACCTTTAATATTCAAGGTTGAAATTCAGTGAATTAATTCTTAAAATATTACTGTAATTATAAGATTGAGTTGCATCATATAATGTAATTGATAATTTATTTTTTTTAAATATTTTTAGGATATATTTATTAAAGGTTTAACATTCATATAATCTCTATTTTCGGTGATTTTTCTCAAATAGGTCTCTCACTTATTTTTTTGTCTCAATTAAGTCTTCATTTTTTAAAAATTGTAACAATTATGTTCTTGTCATTAGTCCTTAGTTCTGTACTAACACCGTTAAAGAGGTGTCGCATGTTAGCTCATGATTTTTTTGAATTTTTAAATATTTTTTAAATATTTTTTAATTATTTTTTTTTATTCTTTTGAAAAATGAAAAAAATTGTCACGTATTAAGCTGACATTGTGTCATGTGGCAATGACAGTGTCACTTGTCACTGTCAGGCCACATGTCATTGCTTTTATCTCAATTTGGTTCCTATATATTTTATTTTGTATCAATTTGGCCTCTATATTAAATTATTAAAAGATTAAACTAAATATATTTTTTGCTCAAAAGGGTCTCAAGAAAGTTGATGCACGAATAATTTTAGAAGATTTAACTAAACGAAATAACGATATGTACATTTTCTAAATTTTTGTTTTTAAATCTATTTTTATTAAGTGAATTTTTGGTGATCCAAGTCTTAATATTTAATTCCAGAAACACTTTTTATGAATTGTCAAAGAAGTATTAAGACTATTTTTGTATATCATTTTCCAAAAATATTTATTATTAAAATGTTAATTTTTATAATTTGTTCATTCACATAATTTAAGGTAAATGATTTCATTTGTTGTTTAATTTTGTAGAAAAATTTTAAATGAGTTTATTTATTTTTATTTGTCTCAATTTAGTTTTTGTTTTGAAAATTGTAATGCAATTAAGTTATTTTCGTTAATACTACATAACTAAAAATGTGTTGTATGTTAGTTCGTAATTTTTTTATTTTTCTAATAAAAGAATATCAATTTGTATAAAAAAATTTGTAAAAATTTATATACAAATTAAATTTTGTTTGAATTTGGAAAGAAAAAAATTTGTTTAATTTTAAAAAAATTAGGATTAAATTGAAACAAAATAAAAATACAAGGATCAAATTGAGACAAAATAGAAATACAAAATCAAATTGAGACAAAATAAGAATATAGGAACTAAATTGTGATAAATACAGTGTCACATGACACTGTCAATGCCACGTCACACTATCATTGTCACGTGACACAATATTAACTTGATATGTGACAATTTTTTTTATTTTAAAAAATAAAAAAAATTAAAAATTAAAATTAAAATAATTAAAAAATATTTAAAAATTCAAAAAAATCACGAAGTGACATATGATACCCTCTTTAACGGTGTTAGTACAAACCTAACGACAAGAGCCTAATTGCTTAAATTTTTCAAAAATAGAAACACAATTAAGACAAAAAAAAAAAACTGAGGACCTAATTGAAAAAAGTCTCGGAAAATAAGAACTATCTGAATTATTAAACCTTTATTAAATGGTGTCTAACCAATTTCTAATGTAATTTTAAGTAATATATCGTATGATGAAATTTTTGAAATTTAATTTAGTATTAAAAGATTTATATCATTCTATAAAGTTAAATTTAGGTATAATACCTATTTTGGTCCGAATTTTAGTTGGAAATATTCAAAATGGTCCCAATTTGTTTTTGCTGTTTAATGTTGTCCTAAAAATCATAATTTGTGTTCAATTTAGTCCTTTTTGCAAACGCCTTTTAAATCGTTAACGGCCCAAATGTCAAGCAATGCAATCAGTGAATGACGTGGACCACCACCGCTGTTCATCTTCTCCGTCCAACAATCACCCAGAAACACCACTAGGACCATCTTCCCCTTCCTCCACCGTGGATCCCCATCAACGCCACTGCCTCTCCTTCTCAAACCATCACCATGGCGGCCCATCAGCGTTGTCGTTCGAACCCTAAATCAAACCGTTGTTCAACCTCACAAGCGTCACGCGCAATCCTCAATGCATCACCATCACCAGCCGCATCAGAAACCTGCGGAAGAACCCAGAAATCGCAAACTCCATTGATGCACGAAGCTTCAACCGCCATCGCAGAAGACCATCTTCGTCTTCTTCAATGCCTAGCCACAGAAGCCTCCGTAATCGAAAAAACCACCGCGATGCCAACATCTTTCACCTGCAAATTCCAAAATCAACATAACCCTAACTCGTCTAAACCATGAAACAGACCCGTCATCATCTTCATTGCGCTTCATGAATCCAATGCGCCATTACTGTCAACCCTTGAGTAGCGCCGCTTCTTCATTCACAAGCAACCATGAACGCAAGTGAGCGACGCAAGAGGAAGAAGCCACTAGGTTTTCCCCTTTCCCTCAATCTGAAACCCTAATTTTGGGTGAGAAATGGGCTGTCACGCGGCAACCCCTCATTGGTTGCGTCATGTTTCAGTCAAGACAAGTCCGCAGTTTAAGTGTCCACATCATTCACTTATTGCACTGCTGGACATTTGGCCGTTAACATTTAAACGGCGTTTGCAAAATGGATTAAATTGAACACAAATTACGATCTTTAGGACAACATTAAATAGCAAAAAAAATTGGGACCATTTCGAATATTTCCAACCAAAATTGGGAACAAAATAGGTATTATACCTTAAATTTACATTACAAAATTTTTTAAACTTATCTAAAACATAAGAAATTAAAAGTTATTAGTGAGATTTTAATAATTATATCCAAATCAATCTTTTAAGAAATGGAGTTACTTAAAAATATATAGTTATTACTTTAAGGTTTAATAGTTTTTTTTTCTAATATTTATTTTGATATCTTACTTTTTTTCAATTTAATTTCCATTTTATTTGAAAAGTATTAATGTTATATCTTCTCTTATATTTATCTTGATCCTGGTAGTACATGATAATATAAATCTTGTAAATATTTAAAATGACTCTTGTAATTTTTTTTAACTTGTTTTATATAACATTTTCATTCAATTGTGTCAACATAAATATAAGAATCACTACCTCTTTTATACCAAATAAAAGTTGAATTTATTCAATTTCTACTGAAAATAACTTTTTAAAA